CGCCGAGGAGCTCTACTACCTGAACAAGTCCGTGTCCCTCATGCTGGCCACCACCGACCTGCTCCGGGAGCGCTTCAGCCTGCTCAGTGCCCGGCTGGACTTCAACGTCCGCAACCTCTCCATGATCGTGGAGGAGATGAAGGCCGTGGACACGCAGCATGGGGAAATCCTTCGCAATGTCACCATCCTACGAGGTGAGAGCCAGATCTGGGCCGGGCTGCCAGGGAGCTCCCAGAGGGCCTTGATGGTCTTGTGAGGCACAGAAGGACCTGGTTTGGGGCAAAAGTCCTAATGGGCTGATGCAATCCTGTAGCAAACGCCCGGGGTACCTGGCAGCTTTACTGTACTTGCAAATCTCTTTTGTAAAGGTGTTATGGCTCTTAGCCCTGACTTACTTGCTTAATGTGCTAATCTGGATTTTGGGCGGTGGGGGTAGTTAAGGTTATTATTTATTTATTTTTCCCCCTAATGGAGGTACTGGGGATTGAACTCAGGACTTTGTGCATGCTAAGCACGTGCTCTACCACTGAGCTATACTCTCCCCATCTAAATCTGGACTTTTATATGTGGATTTGTTTAATTGGGGCCACATAGAGAAACAAGCAGAGCTTATCTTTGGGAAACTCTAGTTCCTCATGTTTTCTCCTTTCCCACCCCCTCTTTGATGTCTTCAACCATCTGCCCCTCAGATGCCGTCACTCTGATGCCCTCATTTTCTCCCATCTCACCCCCACATTAATCAGGGTTCTCTAGAGAAATAGGAGAGAGAAAGAGAGAGACTATAAGGAATTGAATCATGTGATTATGGGGCTGGTAAGTCCAAAATCTGCTCAGCTGATGTCCAGTTCAAGTTTGCAGGCTGGAAGCTGCTGTAGAACAAGGAAGGGACAATGTGTCAGTTCAAAGGCTGTCAGGCAAGGGGATGCTCTGTTACTCAGGGGAGGGTCAGCCTTTGGTTCTATTCAGGCTTCAACTGATTAAATGAGGCCCACCCATATTTTTGACAGAAGCATTACATGCAGGGAAGGCAAATTCATATCAAGAGTCAGTGTCCAAACCAAAAAGACCAAAACACTGCCCCTTGCATGATGGACACAGTCCAGTGTAATCAACCTGCCACCAGCTAGCTGGCTGATCCCTCTGGGGAGTGGTGCCATATCAGCGATTCTCTGTTGGTCTCTGCTGTTGGCAGGTTGGGCACTCAGCAGTGGCTATAGCCAGGTCAGCCTTGGTGACTGGAAGTCTATGTTGCTGACCCCATGTATAAACTCCATCCCTGCTATCACGGCCACTTTGTTCATGAACCCATTGGGCAATGACAGTGGTGGGTGGAGGAAAAACCTGACTGGAATTCACACAATGGTCCTCCTAGTCACTTGATTATTAAAATCCTCCTCTGCTGATTTCACCCTTTGATGAGTATCCACATAGGATGCCATGTGAAGGACCTCAGCTAAAACTCCATTGATCACTGGCCCTCCGTATGTCCCTACTCTGACTGGTGAATGACAGTGATGGTTTTGTCTCCAGGAATCAGTGTCAGTTCAGAGCTTGTGTCCAGTGGTGCCTGAAAGTTCTAATTATTTCCTCTTGCTCAGTGCACAGTTATCTTGGCAAAAGGCCATAGGTCCAGGGAAGGCTGGGAGAATGATTAACAATAAATGTTGTAGGCAGTGTACGAGGGTCCTTCCTCAAGGGGACCTGGTCTCCCCTTCATTCAAGGACTTCTGGGTCTGTAAACTGGCTCACGTTGAAGAATTGTTTGAGGGTTCATGACTCTGTATTTATGATTCAGATCAGATTCTGCTCACTTGACCTAGGAATTTTCTGCTTACACAGAACAAGTAGGCGTTAGTAGGCTTCTGATCTATTTCACTTCTAGGAACACCAGGCTCACAAGCCAATGCCAGGTCTGCAACTGTTCTGATTGCTGCTTTGGCCCTGCTGTCCATCACAGGAGCGACACCCTCCTTGCCTTTGGTGGTTGAGTGTCGTCACTCGGCTTCCACCACCCATGATCCAATTACTCTCAGTGTGGTTAGGTTTCCCAATTCTGTGACTGCAATTCCCATGTAAGGTCTGGCTTCCAGAGAAGAGCCAGGGGTGCCAGCGCTTTCTTCTCGAATTTATTTCTCATAGTCATGGTGAAGGCGTGTCTCTGGACCTTCCCAGGGTGGGCGAGTGGGTCTCCAGTGACAAATCCACTCTAACATTCCAACCTCCCCCGGTCATCAAATCCCTTTCTCTACCTAAACCAAGGCATATCTGGCATTTCTGCTTCACTCACTGTGCGTCAATTTTTTGTCCATGTTTCAGCCATCCAACAAAATGAACTGTTAGAGCCCTTTCTGACTCTCCGAGATGCAAAGTTAGATGTAGAATTCCCGCCTAGTGAGCCCAGAGGAATGGATACTGCCCAATCCGACTTTACATTCCTTCCACCATCATCCCACCCGCTTCATACCCACTCCCACACGTTGCTCAGACTTCCATCTGCAAGAATCAGGGAACACGGAGTGCAGCACACCTCCTCGTAGGTCACACTTTGTATGTCGCTTTTAGGGCTGCTGTGACTTGAATCCAGTTATAGGTCTAGAAGCAAAGAGGGGTGGCGGGGTGGCCCCTGAGGGGAACCAGCATTGTCCTGCTTGTCAGCTGCTTTTCAGGGGCTGTTACCCTTTCCTCGGGCAATACAGGGTTAATCCCCTGGAATAGGGGTGAAGAGGCCACTTTTACTGGTGACAGAGAGACTGCTGCCGCTGGCAGAGAAGACATCAGAATTAGGGGTTCAAAGTCTCCAGCTCCATCAAGGTCTTCCCACGCATCCCCATTCCAACTTTCAGGATCCCCTTCTGTCCCAGTCCATGTCCCCACTTGAACAGTAGACACCTGTGAGACTGGGCGTTGAACTCACATTGTAATTCTGCCAGTCCCTGGAGGAGACTGTGGGTCTTACTTTCAGCAGCCTCAGCCCTGTGGCTGCAGAGAGAAAGGCCTCTTGCAGGGCAGACATAGAAGCTTTCGGGTCACTGATGGGGCCTTTGAACTGGGAATTCTAATCCCGGAGCTCATCCTTTTCTTCCCCTACTTTGACCAGTAACATTAGGAACAACCAGCCAATCTCATTATACTCACTATTTTGACAAAAATATTTAAAAGCATCATATGCATGGTTACCTAGACCCTTGCTTAGGCATCTCCATTCCTTTGCTCTGCTGCCATGGACCATCAGGCTGTTTTTACTGCTGGGTATAGAGTCATTAGCATCTTTCATTTTAATCATATTAGAAAGCCTGTTCCAGAAACCCCTGACCAATTTCGAAAACTCATCCTTCAAATTCTGTTCACCTAGAACCACTCTTGGTACCAAAATCTGTATTAATCAGGGTTCTCCAGAGAAACAGAGCCAGCCAACAGGATGTATACATATCTCCTATGTCCATTAAGATCTCTGGAGAGAGACCTTGATTTGTTATAAGAAGTTGGTGCTCACAGATATAAAAGCCAGAAAGTCCCAAGATCTGCAGGGTGAATCAGCAAGCAGAAGATCCAGGAGAGATGATAGTTTAATTCCAGTCTGAGTCCAAAAGTCTGAGACCCAGGAGAGCTGATGTGGTTGCAGCCTGAAGGCTGGCAGGCTCAAGACCCAGAAAGAGCTGATGTTTTAGTTCGAATCCAAAGACAGGAGAAGGCTGATGTCTCAGTTTGAAACAGTCAGACAGGAGGAGTTCCCTTTTAGTCAGCCTTTTTGTACTTCTCAGGCCTTCAACTGATTGGATGAGGCCCACTCACACTGGGGAGAGCAATTTACTTTACTTGGTCCACCAATTCAAATGCTAATCTCATCCAAAACACCCTCACAGGCACAATCAGAATGTTTGAACAATGTCAACTGAAGAAAAAAAAAAAAGCACAATCTAAAAGCTGAGAATTACGTTTTATTTGGCAGACATATTGAGGACTTAAGTCCAGGAGACAGCCTCTCAGAAAGTTCTGAGGGACGCTCCAAGGAGGTAAGGGAGGAGCCTGGATATACAGGAGATTTTTGCAAAAAAGAATCTAGGTCATTGAATATCAAAAGATTATTGCTAGTTAAAGACAAATCAGACATCTCAAGTTAATGAATGTAGCACTCTTCTGTATATGAACGATGCAAGAGTCTGGGCTCAATGAAATTACTCCTTTGATATGCACCTTAACTATCTCGGGCCAGTACTCTGGGTTTGTTTGTTTTTCCCCATTCTGAATCCTCTCGGGTGTCCATCAGGGATGGCTGCAGGCGACTGATGGCTTGATGGCCACAACATCTTTTGTTCACGGCTATGGCAGGTGACATTCTTTGTCCAAGCCAAATATCTGGGCAACCAGTCAAGTTGACACATAATATGAACCATCAGAGGTCACGTCTGAACTGAGGCCTGAGGTGGGGGTGTAGGTCAGCGTCGGCAAGGATGAGCATAGGAGATCCAGATGCAGGAGCAAACATGCAAAGACCCTGAGCACAGACATCATCTCCTTTAATTTCCATCGTCCCTGAAACTGTGAACCCAGAAAGCCCCAGGGGGAGAACTGGATGCCCCAGTTCAAGTTCACACAGCCAGCAAGGAAGGGACACACGACTCAAATTCAAGGCAGTTCCGATCCAAAGTTTCAGGCTGTTTTGAGTGGCCTTCCCCTCCAAAGTCACATAAAACCCCATCCTTCTAAAAGCCCCTGAGCAAACGAGAGAGCCTTTTGTTTGCTGTCTGTTGCTTCAGCAGGTACTCCTGTCTCCTGCCCACCCATGTCCCCAGTGAGGGACTGACCTCTCCTGCCCTTCAGGCAGCTCCACCTCCAGTTTACCCTCAGATCCCATTTCCGAGGTGGGTTAGTTGGCCCACACTTCCAATTCACTTGAAAAGCTCCATGGCTTCTGTGCACCAGTGCTTCATTCTGAAATAAACACCGTCTTAGCCAGCCCAGGCTGCTGTAACCCAGTACCACAGACTGGGGGATTTCACACAACAGAAATCTGCTCTCTCACAGCTCTGGAGGCTGGACACGTCACTAGGGTTGGTTCCTTCTGAGGTCTGTAAGGAAAGGATCTGTTCCAGGTCTTGCCTTGTAGACGGCCATCATCTCCCCGTGTCTCTTGATATCATCTTCCCTCGGTGCATGTCTCTCTCCGTCCACATGCCCTCTTTTTATAAGGACAATAGCCCTGTTGGATTAGCAGCCACCCTCATAACCACATTAACATTTAGTCATCTCTGTAAAGACACTCTCTTCAAGTAAGGTTATATTCAGAGCTACTGGGGGGTTAGGACTGCAGCATATGAATTTTCAGGAGATACCACCCAATCCATAACAGACACCATTATCTTTTCATTTTGGTCCCTCACAGCAGTATTTCCAAGTTTTTCTCCTGGAAATTGGTCCAAAACTCCTGATTGGGATTCCATACAGGAATTTGTATGGCTATATCAAATTTCCCTGGACTCCTCCCCAGGAAGTATGTGTATTTGTGGGAAGAATGTTCAACCTGAAAACATAGCAGCTCTTGGCTCTGGAGAATAGTGTAAGTAGCCACTGAGATCTGGCAGTTCTAGAATGTACAGTCACATGGATGGGGGGTGCAAAAACCTGGGCTCGATCGTTCAGGGAGACAGGAGAGATCCCAGACAGCTCCGCTGTCTCCACTGAGCTCAGACTTGGAACCAACCTCTCTGACTCTGATTCTCCTTAACCATTTAGTTGCAAACCTGTTTTCCCTTTCTATATTATTGAGCATTTCTGCTACCACTCAGGCTAATTTTTTTCTTTAATCTAGATGGGTGGTGTCATGTGGGATGGGGGTGAGGAAAGATCTTGTTTGCCTGTGGTCATATTTTTGCAACAAAACCAGTTACTGAGTATCTCCTTGGTAACTGAAACCTTCCCACAGTATTTCACCTAAAATATGTTCCCGTGTGACTTCTATGACGCAGTGTTCCAGTGAAGGCATTAGTAGATAGTCCTTAGGGCTCATCCTCTGGTCATTTTGTTGTTCTTAAATTGTATTCAATCTAAGAACAAATGATGTATAAAGCCTTCCTCATGACAAAGCCTGTTCATACACTTTGTTTCATTTTAGCCTCACAATAACTTTTATACAGTGAACAAGGTGGGTTTTGGTGTCCTTATTTTACAGAAAAGTAACCTGAGCTGGGAAAGGGGAAGGGATGAGCTCAAGGTCAGACTGTGACTAAAACCCTGACCCCTCGCCAAGGCTCTGGGATGCACATGTCTAGTGCTCAGTCAGAAGAAGAGACGCTGAGAGCGTGGGGTTGCAGGTACCAAACAGGCATTTTCACCCACATCCTGCTTAGTGTCATGTGCGGGGCAGAGACCGGAGAAGGGGAAACAGTACCCAAAGCGTTAGTAAGGGAAAAGCAGACCACCTACTCCTCCCAGACATGCAGTCAGCTGTGGCCCTCCCCTGATGGGCCGGGATGGCCTAATTACAGCCCAGGGCTTCCTGAGTAATTACGGACCTCCTCCGGACTCCGGGCGCTCTTCCTCTCTCCCAGCTCCCCGCCTGCCACTGTGGCTCACGTTTCTTCCTTTGTCTTAAATGTGCCCCTAGTGCTCAGCGCAGCACTTAACCCCCACCCCCAACCCCTTAATTTTCCCTTTAACCCTGTTGATACCAAGATCTTATTACAGGCCGTGTCAGGGAGCATCCTGTGGCAGAGAGCCCCTGGTCAGCCTCTGTCCGCATCCCTGCCCACTGTGCCAACCGCTACACTTTGTTGTTGACTTCCTCCCTGGCTGGCCGGGTCCTGCCAGCCCACCCCTCTGACTGCATGACTCCTGGCTGGTCCAGGAGGGACACGCGGAGGCTGGGCTCACCTGAGGAAGACAGCCTTGCAAGTGACCCCCTTCCCTGCTCTGTGGGGACCCTCCCTCTCCTCCAAGCAGCACTAGGGTAGGAGGTTCTGGTAGTAGGAGGGCGTCTGGGCAAGAGGCCAGGAGCCTCCCAGGCCCTGGTTTGCATTCTGTCTCTATCCCTTCCTGGTTGGTGATGGTGGGACAGTGACCACTCTCTGCACCATGGTTTCACATGTGTGAAATGGGGTGATGAGCTCAACATATGGCGCTGGGGACCACGAGAGACCTAGTAACTAGCAAATGTTCACTGTTCTCACAGCCCTTCCCCTTTCCGAGCAAAGGCGGGTCACAGAGACGCCAGAGTGAGCTGGACTGAGCATTGCAGGGCAGGGCCGGTGTAGGCGCCCCAACAGCGGGCCTCGGGCGAAGCCACTCCGCTGAGTGTCCTCACAGCTCCTGCCTGGGAGCCCCGTGTGGGTTCTCAGAGATGGTGTCAGCAGTGGCAGCCATGGCTGAGGACATGGAGAAGGAGGTGACCTTTTTCCTGGCAGGCCTCCTTCCACACATCTGGAGGCTGCAGCTCCTGGGGGATGAGGCGACGGTGTGACCCAGGCTTCTGCACAAACCTTCACGCTGGATGTGTGGGCGCCTAGCGTTCCCCATCCAGGGAAGGACACCTAAGAGCTTCCGCAGAAGGAAGGGGGCTGGTGCAGAGGAGCAAAAGAGAGACCTCTACTCTCTGCCTTTTCTCCTTCGCTGTTGGCATAGAAACCCCAAGAAATCCTCAAACCCGGCTGCTGTGCCCTGGGGGCCAGAGAGGAGAGGGCGCGCACTAGAGATGGTGGCGTGGGAAAGACGGGGTCCCACGGAGGGAGTGCGGGGCTCCTGCCGGACCTCCAGGCGTCCTTGTCCAGGTGAGACTTCTCAGGCAGTTCCTGAGTCCAGGCTGAAGACGGAGCCCATCCACCCAGGGGACAGGAATGGCAGCCACAGAAGAGGTTGTGGCAAGAGAGAGGAGAACCAGGGAGCTGGGGGAAGCCTGGGAGCCGTATTCCAGAGGGACAGAGGCAAGAGCTACGGGGCCCTAAGGGACTGTCAGGAGCAACTCTGAATTTTATAGATGATCTGAGCCTGGATGGGGCTTTCCCAGCACCCTCCACGCCCTCTGACTCCCTACCACCTGCACATTTTTCCCAGCCCCAGGTGGCCCAGGTGCCCAGGGCAGAGCTGGGATGAGGACGGGCACTGAGGCTTTGCCAGTTCCCAGCCCATCCCGCCAGGCTGGGGGAGGACTCCCTGCTGGGCATCTTCCGTGCCCTTTTGTTCCAAGTTGTTCCGGTTGCTGTGCTGTGTGTTCCTTCTGTTTGCTGCAGACAGAGGGGCAGGTCCTGTCGCCCTGCTGCTTCCCAGGCCAGGTCGCCACCCCCGCCAGCCAGCCGATGATGGAATCCCAGCTGGTGCTGCTGGCAGGCCACGTGAGCCGAGCCCACACAGGCCACATCCTCGCTGGGTGGGGGAGGTGGGCACGGCAGTGGGTGGCAGGGAACGGAAGGTTTTTATTGGCCCTGCTTGGGGCTGACTCTGCCTGGGCTCTGGTTTCCAGTTTAGATCGTAATTAGAGGACAGTGCTCTGCTCCACTTAGAAATGCTCTGGGAAGGAGATGAGTGGGGGCGTGAGTGGCGTGGGGAGGCCGAGGATGGGCAGCAGGTAGCTCGGCCAGCACTGACAGCCATGGTGTCTGCATGAGCCAGAGAAGGGGCCCTGATGTTGCAGAACTGGATCCTGGCCCCTGGGAGGGCTCCTGGCTCCAGCAGAGAGGACCCTTCTCTCTGAAAGGCCCCGCCGGGCTTCTGGTTTCCGCTCAGAGACCCTGGGGACATCACTCACCTCTCTGGGCTTGAGTTGCCTCCTCGGTGAAATAGAGCTGGACTAGCTGCCACTTCACCCAAGACCCCAGGATTCTCTTGCTTTAACAGCAGGGTCCTCAGGGAAAGCTGAGTACAGGCATGAACATCCACCTCCCAGGCCAGGGCTGGGGTTCCCTGCTAACAACCACCCCACCCCACCCCACGATCCTCCACCAAGACCACTGAAGAAAGCCAGGCCTGCGCTGTGCCTGGCTCCACCCGGGCCAGAGCTGTTCTCCACAACCCCTGTCCTCACTAGGCCACAGCGTCCCCTTTCCTCCACCCCCTGGGCATCTGATGTGCTTTGGCCAGAGTGACGGCCACACTCTGGTCTGTGTCCTCTGCGCTGGTACAGCTCTGAGAGGTGGTGACCTGGCAGGAAGGATATTAAGGTCATCTGACCCCTGGCTTGGATGCTAGGCTGGGCTCTTTAAGGAAGGCCTGTGTCTTTATCATGGCATCTCCCCCAGGCCCTAAGCCAGAGCTGGGCAGGAGCATGGGGTCCACGGCTGTTTGGTGACTCACTCTCTTCAAGCAGATACTGAACTTGCCCTGCCGTGTGCCTGGGCTCCGTGTCCAGGGCAGGGGATGGGAGCCTCCCTGTCTTCCTGAGACTCCACAGTCTCGTGGGGCCACCAGATAAGTGTCAAGGGTTTGCCTTCACTATGCTGTGGCTTCTCTTTCTACATGTCAACTAAAAGATTCAGGAGGTAGTAGCTCCAGGAACTCAGAGAAGAGGCTGGAGTGGTCAGGGTGGGCTTCCTGGAGGAGCTGCCTTTTCTCTGGTCTGGTGCTGGGCCCACTCACTTGCTCACACTGGGTGGCATCTGCTTTTCACACCTCACTTTCTTGGCTTTCTCCTCTGTGTCATTTGACTCCACTCCTGTTGCCTAAAGGTCACAGATGAGATCTGCGGGTGGGAAAGGAGTGGGAAGGGGCGAGGGGGCGGTAAGTATAGCAGCCAAAGACCATAATGAGTGTAGGCGGCCCGGCTGGCCTCCGGAGCAGGACAGACAATCCTGGACAGCCTTGGCCTTTCCCCAGAGCTGTTCGGCGCTGAGCCCCTGACCGGCGGGCGTGTGTGGAACCGCGGCCAAGCCCCGAAGTCAGGACAATGAGAGCTCCCTGGGCACAGGCCTCAGGCCAAACACCTACCCATGTAAGCTGGGGCTCGGGACTCTCAGCCTCACTTCACAGGTGGCCAGGCCACTTAGAGGGGTCAGATCAGCGGCCTGCAGTCAGCAGACTTGGGCCCTGCGGCTTCCGACTCTCGGGTGTCACGGTGCCCATTGCCGCACACCCACTTCACGGGACAGCCTCGGAAGACCTGCCCTCGGGACTGACCTCTCCCCTCTTCTCTCTGACCCTAGGTGCCCCC